TTTTTTTTCATTTTTATAGTGTTTTGGGTAAAAAAGAAAATACCATTAGACTTCTGATTCTAGTGATCATTTCATTTTGAAACCTACTTTTTTAATGGAAAATTTTAGCCTTCTGTCATCTCCAGGGAGTGGGAACTATTTTGAAATATTTTTTTTCCCATACTAATTACCTGTGTGATGGGGACCTGCTCTCTGTGTTTTTGTTTCTGGAACTTTTTTCTTTCTCCTGTTTCACCTAAAATAAAAAGCATGATTAATCTTTCTTTTTGTGGGTGGTTGGCCTGTGCTCTGGTATGGTTTGCTCCTTCTTTCCGATCAAACATCTAATGTCCTTATCTCTCCTTCTTTTTTATGTTTCTTACTCTCTTGTAACACCTCTAATCTTTGACGCTTATATGACCTAATTGTATTGCTAGTGCCGTAAAACTCTTATTAAATTTCTTTAAGAGATTTTTTTCCAGATTCATATTTTTTTTAAATAGAATATTACCGACTATACTATCCAGCATCAGGTAACTAAAATTTGAATGTTATAATTGCAGCAAAAAAAATTTTTTTAATTACGGGAATGTTCATAACAGTCTGTGACGGACTTTGCTTTCAGTTCCTGCTGTTGGATGACATTGAAGAAACTGAAGGTTCTTACATGAAGGAAGTGGACACATCTACAAGCAAGGTATATTTATAGACCTGTTGTGTGGTCTCCCATTTTCAAAAAACGCTCTTTTTTTTTTTTTCGATACAGTTGTTTGAATGTTGCTGTTTTCAATTAAAATGCTCAGGAACAAAATATTGCTCTGTTTTTACTTCCTTACAGATGATGCTTCATATCGGCAACTGTCGATCTATTGTTTGTGATGTCCTTGTCATGTGTTTATGACGATGACAGACCCGCCAAGTACTCCAATAAAATCGGAGCCCTCTGATTTTTATTTTACCTATTGAGGAACTACAATTAGATTTGCAAAAAATCCCTTTTTTTAAAAAGAATTCCATTTCCCTAGGTCGTACGCAACTTATCGTAAATGACGTGAAAATACATATTTTTATTTGCAACATAATTACTGTCATGTTTGGGGG